AGATTTGGGTGCCACTACAGGACTTTGGTTGCAACAATGATCTATATGGTCCCAGTTTATGTCAATAACGTCACACCCTACTTATTTTTTACATGAGAAATTCAGGTCTTTTCTACCCTGTTTTTCTTGGAAGACATCATGGGCATTTGGAGAACCAGTAGAATAATGACATCACAGGTACCAAGACAGTGAGAATGCATTCCCACTTTTCCCTCCATGTGCCCAGAAGGACAGACAAGTTTTCCAACAATTCACTGGGAAAAAATCATAGAGGAGCTCAGTTTAGTGAAGCACGAAACCATGGGATATGCTTCCAGAAGTCCTAGCCCCTCACCTCAGTGAGTACAGCACCAATGTGCACACAGTCAAGTGGACATAGTTGGGTAGGGCTTTGCAGTGTGACCACTCAGATCTGGGGTAGGCCAACCAGGGTGCTCACACCTGGCTGCCACCGGAGTTAACTCTGCAGTGAAGACATACCTTTAGTAAGCAGTCTTGCTGATGCATATTGAGGAGTAGAATCTAGTTCCCTCTCAAATTGTATTACAGTGAAAGGCACATTTCATTTGCATATAAATGCAACATGGAAGTTTTTTGATTAAAAAAAGAAAAAAAACTCTGGGTTTTATAAACCTAGTGAAACACTGGAACATCATTACATATAATCTATTTATAACTTAATTTTAAAAAGATAAATGCTGGTTATGTAAGCATTAATTTCAAATAAAACAGTAGTAAAAATTATATCGTCCCTATTGAAGAAAGCTCCCTTCTTGCTCTCTGGCTGGATTAAATCTTCACTGTCTACAGCATGTGAATTCTCTAGACCAAGCAAACCATGCAGACACATGAAATTGAGAAGTGTTTGTTATACACCAGCACATGCACTTCAGTTGCTGTATAAACTCTCACCTCTCCAAGTTACTTTGGACTTTACATCTGCTGACAGCAAGACACTGGTTGATATACCCAGTAAACTACTGAAAATATGACCATAAGGGTACAGTATCTGTTTTACAAGTCAGACCCCCAAATTCCAATCCCATTTTGTAAGTGTTTACAGTAGTTACTCATGTTAATATATACGATCTGGTATTGATATGATGCTACAGTCTTTGCTGGAAGATACTAGCATCCAGCCTTGAAATAAAATACAGAAGGATAGTATTCACAGATCCATGTGCTAAAGTAATTTTCCTGTTTCTATTTTAACTCTTCAGTGCTGAGAGATGTGGACAAACATATCACTACTTTCAGAGTTATCTTGTCTCTCACCAGCAAAGTATTCTGTTTGGAATAAGCCAAAAATGTTAGGTATGAAACACTGCTTATGAAGAAACCTTGCTGCTGCAAAGATATAGAAATAACTTACACGGTGGTGGTATCTTTGGAGTGCTGTGTGAAGGGAATGACTGGTTACCAGTCAGTGAGTACGTAAGAGACCACACAGATGTCCAGCCTTAGAGGAAAAAGTAATGGATTACTGAGTAACAACCACATACCGAAGATATTGTAAAACATCATCTGAGTGCAACATATAGATCCCACGTAGAACACTGATTATTTTGTGGTAAATGCAATTAACTATGAACTTGCACTAATGCTGATAGGATTCAGACGTTTTGCTTTGGATAGCCTAAGGAAATATTAACCACCTACAAAATGTTTAATGTATCAACAGTAACCCCCTCCCACTCTTTAGGATAGTTCTGGATGTCCCACAGTTGCAAACATGCTACAATGTGATACTTAATATTCACAAAGTATATAAAATCCTGTTATTTCTGTTCTTGGTTACACAAGTGTAAACCAAAGGTATGTCTACACTACGGGATTAATCCGAATTTATATAATTCGAATTTTGGAAACAGATTGTGTGAAGTCGAATGTATGCGGCCACACTAAGCACATTAATTCGGTGGTGTGCATCCATGTACCGGGGCTAGCGTCGATTTCCGGAGCGTTGCACTGTGGGTAGCTATCCCATAGTTCCTGCAGTCTTCCCTGCCCATTGGAATTCTGGGTTGAGATCCCAGTGCCTGATGGGGCAAAAAACATTGTCGCAGGTGGTTCTGGGTACAGCCTCACCCCTCCCTCCATGAAAGCAACGGCAGACAACCATTTTGCAACTTTTTTCCTGGGTGAACACTGCAGACTCCATACCACGGCAAGCATGGAGCCCGCTCAGCTCAAGACAGCAGTCATGAACATTGTAAACACCTCGCGCGTTCTCGTGCAGTTTATGCTGAGCCAGGACCAGAAAAACGAGACGAGGCGGTGGCGGCAGCGCAGCTACAAGCGTGATGAGGACATGGACACGGACACAGAATTCTCTCAAACCGCGGGCCCCGGTGCTTTGGAGATCATGTTGTTAATGGGGCAGGTTCTATCCATGGAATGCCGATTCTGGGCCCGGGAAACAAGCACAGACTGGTGGGACCGCATAGTGTTGCAGGTGTGGGACGATTCCCAGTGGCTGCGAAACTTTCGCATGCGTAAGGGCACTTTCATGGAACTTTGTGATTTGCTGTCCCCTGCCCTGAAACGCCAGAATACCAAGATGAGAGCAGCCCTTGCAGTTGAGAAGCGAGTAGCGATAGCCCTGTGGAAGCTTGCAATGCCAGACAGCTACCGGTCAGTTGGGAATCAATTTGGAGTGGGCAAATCTACTGTGGGGGCTGCTGTGATGCAAGTAGCCAAAGCAATCACTGAGGTGCTGCTACGAAAGGTAGTGAGTGGGAAATGTGCAGGTCATAGTGGATGGCTTTGCTGCAATGGGATTCCCTAACTGTGGTGGGGCGATAGATGGAACCCATATCCCTATCTTGGCACCGGAGCACCAGAGTACCCAGTACATAAACCGCAAGGGGTACTTTTCAATGGTGCTGCAAGCACTTGTGGATCACAAGGGACGTTTCACCAACATCAACGTGGGCTGGCCGAGAGGGGTTCATGATGCTCGCATCTTCAGGAACACTACTCTGTTTAAACGGCTGCAGCAAGGGACTTACTTCCCGGACCAGAAAATAACCATTGGGGATGTTGAAATGCCAATAGTTATTCTTGGGGACCCAGCCTACCCCTTAATGCCATGGCTCATGAAGCCATACACAGGCAGCCTGGACAGGAGTCAGGAGCTGTTCAACTACAGGCTGAGCAAGTGCAGAATGCTGGTAGAATGTGCATTTGGCCATTTAAAAGGTCGCTGGCGATCGTCACTGACTCGCTCAGACCTCAGCCAAACCAATATCCCCATTGTTATTTCTGCTTGCTGTGTGCTCCACAATCTCTGTGAAAGTAAGGGGGAGACCTTTATGGCGGGGTGGGAGGCTGAGGCAAATCGCCTGGCTGCTGATTACGCGCAGCCAGACACCAGGGCGATTAGAAGAGCACACCAGGAAGCGCTGTGCATCAGAGAAGCTTTGAAAACCAGTTTAATGACTGGCCAGGCTACAGTGTGAAATTTCTATGTGTTTCTCCTTCATGAGAACCCGCCCCCTTTATTGACTGATTCTCTGTAAGGAACCCACCCTCCCCCTTCCCCCAGCTTGCTTTCAAAGGAAATAAAGTCACTATCGTTTAAAAATCATTTATTCTTTATTAATTGATTATAAAAAGAGGGAGAGAACCCGGGTGGGGTTTGGGAGGAGGATCGGCGGGAAGGAAAAGGCCACTAAAAAAAGGTTAAAAAAATGACAGTCTTTTGCTTGGGCTGTCCACTGGGGTGGAATGGGAGGGTGTACGGAGCCTCCCCTTCGCCCCCACCTTCTTACACGTCTGGCTGAGGAGGCTATGGAACATGGGGAGGAGGGTTATACAGGGGCTGTAGCGGCACTCTATTATCCTGCTGCCGTTCCTGAAGCTCCACCAGACGCCGGAGCATGTCTGTTTGCTCAAGCAGCAGCCCCAGCGTTGCATCCTGCCTCCTCTGATCTTCCTGCCGCCACCTCTCATCTCTAGCGTCTCTCCTCTCCTCACGTTGGTCCCTCATGTCCTCATGTTGGTCCCTCCCATCCTCACGTTCACTGGCTTCTTTCCTATACTTTGAAACCGTGTCCTTCCACTCATTCAGATGAGCTCTTTCACTGCAGGTGGATTCCATGATTTCTGCGAACATCTCGTCTCGCGTCTTCTTTTTCTGACGCTTTATCTGAGATAGCCTTCGGGACGGAGGAGGGAGGCTTGAAAAATTTGCAGCTGCTGGAGGGAGGGAAAAAAGGAGAGAATTTTTTAAAAAGATACATTTTGCAGAACAATGCTTATACTCTTTCATGGTGACCAACACTATTCACATTACATAGCCCATGTGATTTCTGTGCAAGGTCGCATTTTGCCTCTTAATATTGAGCGTCTGTGGCTTTGCTGCTAGAGATCACAGACGCAGGTCCGGGCAACAGAATTCGGCTTGCATGCGGCCATAGTAAGCCATTTTCTTTCAGCTTCTGCGCCCTCCTTTCCCACATACCAAGCAAAACCCGTTGAGTGCTGCGGTTTTCCTGTTAACCTTCAGCAGCAGAAAACAAACTAACCCCCCCCCCCATCCAATTCTCTGTACGATTGCTTTATCCCTCCCCCCCACCGCGTGGCTGGTATCAGGGAAGTTCCCTGCTAGCCAAACACGAAAAGCTCTGGGCCAATCCCCCCCCACCACCCCTCCCCCCGCGCTTGGCTAACTGCAGGGAAGGATTTCTTTTCAGCCACAGGCAAACA